GTAAAATAATATCTGAAAGGTAAATGGCCTGTACTTGTATAGTTCTTTATCAAGTCCAAATGACCTGAAAATGCTTTTCACCACATTTAGTCATTCACCCATTCACACACATTCACACACTGATAGCAGTTAAGCTACTATATTGTAGCTACAGCTGCCCTGGCACAGTTTGACAGGAGTAAGGCAGTCATTCACTGGTACCACTGGGTCCTCTGACTACCACAGACTGGCATGGCAGGTGAATTGTCCTCTTGATCGAGGTCACAACGACTGACAAAGTGGGGGTTCCAGCAGGCAGCCCACCAGGTATAAGATAAACTCCAACCTCCTAGGACCCTGTTTACAAGTGTGCTTTTGAGTTGGGCCACCACCACTTCTTCGACCTGACCATGACACAGAACTTTGAGGGGTTTAGGTCATGAAGGTCTACACCTCTCATGTGCTCATTGATCTAGTTGACATCAGTCTCTGTATAGTTCTCTCATCTTTGTTTCTACTATGAAAATATTGTTTTTCTAGTGGATCAGTTTCTCATCTTGTGTCGGAACCTCATTAGGATCCTCGTTATTTTTAAAGGGTACATCAAAGAGACAGCTGTCCCTTCATCATAAACTTTCGCAGGTGGTAACAGAGTCCCACATGACTGATGAAGGGTCAAATTATCTTTTCCCCATGAACTGATCATATCCATTCAAAATCAGACATGGAAAACGGCCCATCTTCCCCATATGGTGCATGTCTAAGCCACCACTATCAAAATCAGTAAGGATTCCATTTTTATCACAACTACATTGTTGTATGCTTTGTCTGGCCATCACCAAGTCCAACAGATCAAGAACCACACTCAAAATGAATCTTAAAAAAGAAGTTAGGAATTGGAAGAATATGGTATGCATTTAAATAAGCTCACCTAGGTCTAATACATTATCCCACTGGTCACTATTGTGACCGTCAACATATTTACACATCCTGCTCACACACCAAACTCATTTTTGTAAATGTAAAGGGGCATATCATAAACACTTTAAAGATGTGCACCAAAAATCTTTGTGTTTAAACATACATTACTAGCCTCTTTGGGAGGTTTGTGGCAGTCTAATTCTCACAAAGGTATAACCAAGATATAATCAGCTCTAGTCATGTGATAATTCACTCTAAACATGTGATACTGCATAAGTATTATCCAAACACTCTAAACTTTCAATGTTTGCTGAACATTAACTGAAAATTTAATCAGGAAGCTTTTTAGAGTCCTTGAAAGTGAAAAAAATTTATTGGTCACTATTGTGACCGGTGGGGTGAAATGGGTTAATGATAGGGCAGTGACATTGACCAAGTTATTATTCATCAACACAGTGGCCAGCATTTTTATTACACTTTCTTTACACCTGTGTCCAACAGACAGGAAGGCACATTTGGTATATTTCCAATTGATCATTTGTGTCAGATTTTTTGTTCTTTGTTTATGTGGCGACAGTAGGGTATGGATCTGATGCTCTGTCCCTCACAGAAGGGTAACCAGATGTTGTCAACAACGCCACCTTGGGAGTTGCACCCAAGGAAATAGATTGCCAGTAGGCACTCGAGGTTCGTGACCAATGAGAACAAGACTTTTCCAAAAAATAATTGTATCGTTTTAAAACGA